TGTGTGTGTGTGTGTGTGTGTGTGTGTGTGTGTGTGTGTGTGTGTGTGTGTGTGTGTGTGTGTGTGTGCAGAAGCACTAAACATCTAATGATCTAGTCTAGAAGCGATGACGGCAGCAAGTCACCTTCATCTGTTTGGAACATCGGAGGAGATGTTGGCAGGGAAGGAGAGAGAAAAGAAGCATGGATGAAAAACAGAAATAAAATTAAAGAAAAAAATACAGAAACAAAAGTGACCAAGTGCATCCATTTAAGTATGGATCTGGGTCATTATTTAAAGTGATCTTCTGTCAAATAGTTATCAGTAGTTATTAGTTACAGTGTTTCAGAGCATGGAGAAAAGGGCAGAAGTTCTCCTTCAGGCTAGCCCAGTTGTTCCCGACCCTGATCCATCCTGCATGTTTTAAATGTTTTCCAGCTTTGACACATCTGATCTGTTTGCATGAGTGATTAACAAGCCTGCTGAAGTCAGGGAAACAAGAAGGATAGTGTTCCTCAAAGGCCAGAGTTGGGAGCTACTGAGCTAGGCTAACAGCTAGCCAAACAGGGGGCCAATGCTAATTGTTTTTCCATATTCTCTCTTAAAAACAGCATACATGAGTGAAAGAATGCTAATATAATAAACCATTTTTTGTTTATTTTCTTGCTGTTTTCTCAGCCGAACGTTATTGTTTAATATCAGCTCTTTCACACCAGTAGCTTGGTTTGGAGAAAGATTGATCAACAAGCCTGAAAAGTGTTTAAAATTGGTTCTTGTTTGGCTGGTCATTAGCCTAGCCTAGATCAACACTTCTGCCATTTTCTCCATATTCTGTGCTTTACAATTGATGAAGCACTGTCTAATAACTAGATGTCAAAACATCACCTCAAAAATCACCAGACTATCCCTTTAATAACAGACTGATTTGGAAAGGTTCAGGTTGTTTTACTCAAACCTGCTTCTACAGACACATAAATATAAAATGAACTGAACAAAAGGTATAAAATATAAGACAGAACTTCAACACTCTAAAGTGCCACAGGTGTCTTTTGTTGTTTTAGTCAACACTTTTAATTTAACACAAAGTTTTCAAATTTTAAATTCTTTTATGAGAGTGTTTTTAGTCTCAGAGAGAAAAGATATAATCGAAGAAACACAACTTTACTGGTGAGCTCAGAGGTGCCATCATTACTAGGGCTGTGCATTGGCAAGAATTTGGCGATACGATACATATCATGACAAAGGGGTCACGATATGATATATCCCGATATATTGCGATACTGTAAGCAAGGCGATATCTTGTGATTTTTTGGTCCAAAAACTATGTTAAATAAAAACCTTTTACTATGAAAAACCAAAATTCATTGTCTCAGAAAATTCTAATATTACATAGACATACTTTTGATACATTTAGCTGTGTTCTGCTTTGTATGT